CCCCCCCCCTCCCCGCCCCCCTCGCTAGAGCTTCTTTTTTTCTACTCGCTGATGTTTTTCATGGCTTGATTGAATCCTTTATTTTTTTCCCTGGGCTCCTCGCTTTGCTCAGGCTCCGGCGTCGGTGGTCCTCGGACGGCGCATGCTCAGTGAGGAGCGCGTTACTTCGCGTCTTTCCCCGTCGCAGCCACCCCAATGGCTCTCCCGCTTAACGCAGCGGCAGCGGCAGCAGCGGCAGCAATCAGGGCCCCGATGCCGTCGGCCCGAGGAGCAGGCGCAGCTCTCCCCAGGAGCCCCGGGAACAGCCCGGCCAAGAGGGTCGGGTGGGCGGCCTTGCAAAAAAAATAAAATATGTCTGTGCCGCCGCCGCCGCCGCCGCTGCTGCTGCAGCTGCTGCAAACTCTTGGCTCGGAGTCGTCCTCCCCCCCCCCCCGCCCCCCCGCTTGACCCTTTTTTTTTAAGCCCGGACAAACCCGGATCCGGGTCTGGCTTGTTTTCGGAACTCGCCTGTTTGCAGGTCGGGAGAAGCTGCCTCTTCCTTCCACTCCCCACGCCGCCCCCATTTTCTTTCTCCTGATGATGATGATGATGATGATGACTGCATTGTTATTTGCACTTGGCGGAACCCGTGGTGGGAGGAGGGACCCAAAAAAAAATAAAAAATAAAAAAAAACGGGGATGCTCCTCCTTGCTTCTGAACTGAATTCCCGCGATTCTCTTTTTTTTTTTTTTGGCAAAGGAAGCGAGGAATCGTCCATACCGTTACTTGCAACAACATGGTGGTTTGGGGGGGTTTGTTTTTGCTTTTTTCTGCAACTTGCAACAACATTGATTTTTTTTTTTTAAGGGTAAAAGACTGCAAAAATGAAGAGAAATTCAGAAAAGAGACAAGTCAGGGCCTATTGTTATGCCTAAATTTCCTGATTTGTTTCATTGGGGATTGGGAGATCTAGTTATCTGGATAACAGTAGTGAAAGATAGCAATGGAGCTGTGGAATTAAAAGGTTTCGGGGCTGGGTTGAAAGTGGAGGAAAACAAAGTCCGTTTTTCTGGAAATGGAGAGTTTGGGCCCGTGTTAAAGGCAAAGTTCATGACTGAGTTTATCGTCATGCTTGTACCCCCCAAACACACTTTCTTCCAACCCTTCTTCCTGATTCAAAGAAATCGGTGAAGGAACAGGCCCAGGATTCAGCCACCCGTAAAATAAATAAATGTAGTATATACTTCAATTGTAATTTGTTAGTTAAAAAATGCTAGTAATGTCATGTGCCTTACTGATTGGTAGTGTAAATTTGTGTAGCTGTCTGCTTGCCTCTCTTTTCTTCCTTGGACCCCCCCTTGGTTTGAAAGCAGGGATTTCAATTTTGCTGGCAGCTACTAAAAATGGGAATACAGTACAAAGGCTCATCATTGCTGACCCCTGAATTAAAAAAAAATTAATTACTAAATCAGAATCGGCTCCAACTAGCTCCATGGACAAACACTTTAGTAATAGCTTCTGACTCTTTCAAGGACATTTCAGTAATCTTTTTGATCCCATTCATCTCTCCATCTACCTTATCCTTTTACTTCCCTGAAGCATTTTCACTTTTTCTCATTCATCTTCCATTTGTATCACATTCAAAGTTATAGTTTTGCTTGCTGATCCCTTCCTGAAGGAAGAAAACAGCCTGTAATTGGCTAAAATTGACTGATTATTCTTGCAGCTTTGGGTTGTAAATCCTTAAGTTAAAGATATCTATTTTATTTTTTTTCCCCATAGTGACCAGCCTTCTCAAAAAGGACACTGGAAAGGTAGTTGTTTTAGCAATTCTCATATTGGCTGTCATTGAAATGAGTTTGCCTAAATTACTGATACCTTAGTACATTTTGAAAAGCATATTTGTATGTGTCATAGTGGATGACAATTTGAAAAAGTTAAACAGAATTAGATTTAGCTAGTATTAGATCAAGGCCGAACCTTTGATGGAACCAAAGGGAAAAGGCTCTCAAACTTGGAAGCCAGAAGATAATATACACTGCTCAAAAAAATAAAATAAAGGGAACACTTAAACAACACAATGTAACTCCAAGTCAATTACACTTCTGTGAAATCAAACTGTCCACTTAGGTAGCAACACTGATTGACAATCAATTTCATATGCTGTTGTGCAAATGGAATAGACAAGAGGTGGAAAGTTTAGGCAGTTAGCAAGACATTCCCAATAAAGGAGTGGTTCTGCACATGGTGACCATAGACCACTTCTCAGTTCCTATGCTGGCTGATGTTTTGGTCACTTTTGAATGCTGGTGGTGCTTTCACTAGTGAGACGCAGTGTACAACCCACACAAGTGACTCAGGTAGTGCAGCTCATACAGGATGGCACATCAATGCGAGCTGTGGCAAGAAGGTTTGCTGTGTCTGTCAGTGTAGTGTGCGGATCATGGAGGCGCTACCAGGAGACAGGCCAGTACATCAGGAGATGTGGAGGAGGCCGTAGGAGGGCAACAACCCAGCATCAGGACTGCTACCTCCACCTTTGTGCAAGGAGGGAGAGGAGGAGCACTGCCAGAGCCCTGCAAAATGACCTCCAGCGGGCTACAAATGTGCATGTGGCTGCTCAAACAGTCAGAAACAGACTCCATGAGGGTGGTATGAGGCCTGACGTCCACAGGTGGGGGTTGTCCTTACAGCCCAACACCGTGCAGGATGTTTGGCATTTTCCAGAGAACACCAAGATTGGCAAATTCGCCACTGGCGCCCTGTGCTCTTCACAGATGAAAGCAGGTTCACACTGAGCACATGTGACAGACATGACAGGGTCTGGAGACGCCATGGAGAACGTTCTGCCTGCAACATCCTCCAGCATGACCGGTTTGGCAGTGGGTCAGTAATGGGGTGCAGTGGCATTTCTTTAGGGGGCTGCACAGCCCTCCATGTGCTCACCAGAGGTAGCCTGACTGCCATTAGGTACTGAGATGAGATCCTCGGACCCCTTGTGAGACCATATGCTGGTGCAGTTGGCCCTGGGTTCCTCCTAATGCACGACAATGCTAAACCTCATGTGGCTGGAGTGTGTCAGCAGTTCCTGCAAGACAAAGGCATTGACTGGCCTGCCCATTCCCCAGACCTGAATCCAAATGAGCACATCTGGGACATCATGTCTCGCTCCATCCACCAACGCCACATTGCACCACAGACTGTCCAGGAGTTGAGGGATGCTTTAGGCCAGGTGTGGGAGGAGATCCCTCAGCAGACCATCTGCCACCTCATCAGGAGCATGCCCAGGCGTTGTAGGGAAGTCATACAGGCAAGTGGAGGCCACACACACTACTGAGTCTCATTTTGACTTGTTTTAAGGACATTACATCAAAGTTGGATCAGCCTGTAGTGTTTTTTTCCACTTTAATTTTGAGTGTAACTCCAAATCCAGACCTCCATGGGTTGCTAAATTTGATTTCCATTTATAATTTTTGTGTGATTTTGTTGTCAACACATTCAACAATGTAATGAACAAAGTATTTAATAAGAATAATTCATTCATTCAGATTTAGGATGACTTCTTTTTGTATTCCCTTTATTTTTTTGAGCGGTGTATTTTTCTTTATGTTTAAACACACATTCTCAGAGGATGATAAGGCAATCAAGAAGTCCTTTGTTTTTAGATTTTTTTTCTTCAAAGATCATTCTATCAAGCTTCAAAAAAGTTAATATACTCCCAGTGTTTGGTCACTGAATATATGAACAGATAGTACTTAATTCTGTTTTACAGCCAAATACTGCATTGACAAGAATAAGCAAATATTAATACTGGTGCTGATTATAAATATGCAAACCTGGCCTAAATTATAATTCCTAGATTATTGTGAGAAACTTTAATTCAGTAAGCAGATATGTTTTGTTTATTGAAGGATCAAGTTCTCTCAGTAATGGCTGAAGAAAGTTCAGCCTGAAAACTGAGTATATATCAGATATATATGATATATCACTTAGGAAGTGGCAATCAAATGTCCTCTACATCTTTTTATTTATACCTCTCACAATTTCCTATCAATGGCTCTGTTGGTTGATAGAAATTCAACTCATCTTAAGGAAATAGAGTTGCCTACTATTTGTGAAATTGAACTAGATACATAAAAATTCAGAGTGTGTTTGAAGCCTGGGTAGGTTAGCTGGAAAGGCGAATTTGAAAGGTTAATGCCTTGCTAAGTGAGGGGAGAAATCATTTTATTGTATTTGTATTGAGAAAAGCATTTAATTA